CAAGAATTAAGAGCTCTCCAGCACGGGCACCCGCTGCACACAAACGGCTGGGCATGTGGGCGTTCATTTATTCATTCTCAAGGCCGGGATTTGGGCCGGGAAATGAAAGGCAAGAAACCAGCTCGAAGCCCGGACCTGCAGAGTCACGTACCCCTTGCATGCCAATCGCAGCCTCCCGGAGGGAAGCCTCCATTTTCATTTCTGTAATCATCTTTTTAAATGGTGCTTGGCCTGGAAGAAGTGTTGGCTCAGGGTTAAACATGCCCTTCCATCGCCAATGAGAGGCGGCTCCACAGTGTGAATGACACCAGCTTCAGAGTCAGAGCCTCTGACCATGCCAGCCTCGTGCCCCTGGACAGGTCACTTGACTCTCCATGCCCCCAGGTAGCTATCAGTGATAGATGAGGGGCTGACATGCATCAGAGAGGCAACTGTCCTCTTCTGGGAGTTCCCTAGACCACTGAGGGGGGTCCAGACCCCTTGAAAAATGACCAGCTGCAAGTTGTAACAGTGGAGGAGGGGTTCCCAAGGAGAAAGCCACCCCCCCAAAGTGTCTTCATCCTTCTGCACTCAGGCACTCAGCTGATGGGGAGTCAATCCCCTAGGACAAGAAAAGAAATCCTAGAACAGAGGGCAGCACCTAGGCCAGTTCCACTGTAATAAGTGATTCCCAAAGGAGGGAACTCTCTCCACTCATGAGGTGATGTATAGCCAGTCTAAGGAGCAGGATTTGAACTCAGCTCCTGGCTCTAAGGCTGGCTCTCTGTTCCCTCAGCCATGCCTCCTTTCTAACCCTCGCAGAAAATAAGAAATATCTTCTAAAATATGGAAAATCCAGATGAAATGTGAATTTCCCAGGAGGCCCAAGACCCCATGCGGCCGTGGGGCTCTAGGAAGCCCACGCTAGGAATGCCCCAGAACTGCAGTGATGCCCGTCTGTTCCCCAAACTTCCAGGCAAGGGAATTCCAAAGCTGCTCTCTGAAATCCATCTCAGAGTAAATCGCTCTTCCCTGAATCTCCCTTCATACCCAAGTACTGCAGAGAACACGTGGGCTGCCTCCACAGGCGAGCACATGAAGGGAGGAAAGCCTTTTGGGGCCACTGATCAAAGTACCATCTTAATGGAGAAGGCGAGGCAGGAGAAAAGAGCATGAGCACCAATCCCTGGACACGTGTCAGGGAAAGCATGCAAGCTGGAGAGTCTCAAGGCCCTTGTGTGCTTGGAGCTGATGTGAAGCCTTCGTGCGTTCTCTTTAAATGCACGGTGAAAATGAGAGGAGAGGAGAGGAGAGAGACAGAGAGAGAGAGAGACAGAGAGGGAAGGGGAGAGAGAGAGAGAGAGACAAAGAGAGAGAGGGTAAGAGGGAGAGAGAGAAAGAGAGAGAGAGAGAGAGAGACAGAGAGGGAAGGGGAGAGAGAGAAGAGAGAGAGAGAGAGAGAGAAGAGAGAGAGAGAAGGGGAGAGAGAAAAAGAGAGAAAGAGAGACAGAGAGAGGGTAAGAGGGAGAGAGAGAAAGAGAGACAGAGAGACAGAGAGGGAAGGAGAGACAGAGAGACAGACAGAGAAGGAGACAGAGAGGGAGGGGGAGAGAGAGAGAAGGTGAGAGACACAGAGAGACAGAGACAGAGAGACAGCCAAGGAGAGGAAGAGGGAACAGAGAGTATGAAGGAGCAGGGTGCTAAGGGGGGGGGGGGAGAGACAAAGAGAAAGACAGAGACAGAGACAGAGAGAGACAGCCAAGGAGAAAATGAAGGAACAAACAGAATATGAGGGAGGGGCGTACTGGGATAGAGACAGAGAGAGAGGGGCAGCTAGGTGGCGCAGTGGATAGAGCACTGGCCCTGGATTCAGGAGGATCTGAGTTCAAATCCGGCCTCAGACACTTAACACTTCCTGGCTGTGTGACCCTGAGAGAGACAGACAGACAGACAGACAGACAGACATTCCAAGAGGAAATAAAGGAATTTCCTCAAAAATGACTTGTAGGCACTACATGGGCAGCTAGGTGGTGCCACAGTGCATAAGCGCCAGGCCTGCAGTCCTGATTTCAAATCTGGCCTCAGACACTTCCTTGCTGCATGACTCTGGGCAAGTCACTTAACCCTGCTTGCCTCGGTTTCCTCATCTATAAAATGAGCTGCAGAAGGAAATGGCAAATCCCCCCAGCATCTCTTCTAAGAAAATCCCCCCAAACGGGTCTCAGAGAGTCGGGCCAACTGAATGACATCCGGGCTCATTCCCTGCAAGCCTGGGTCCCTTGGCCATGAAGCCACACGTCACTTCTCCCTCATGTGATCTCATAACACTCAGTCACAGGATTGTCTATGCTAACGTGGGCCGGGCTATCTGTGTGCATGCCTCAGGACCCCTGCCAGATCTGGCAGCTCCCCGAGCCTGGAACACTGCACGCAGTCTAAGCTGTGCCCAGTGAGGAAACTGATGAGCGCCTCCCCCCTCTCTCCTCCCCCTCTGGAGGCATTCGGATTAGGAAGCTGCCCTCGGATTAACGAACTGAGGGTCACGCATGGGGGCACTATCAGTTGAAGCAGAATAATTTGCTACAGATAGAATATTTTTTATGATCATAGAAACTGCTGAGATCTAAACTTTATTTTAGTTTTACAATCGTCCTAGATGCGCCCAGGGCTAGCAGACTGAAACAAGAGCCTTTCGGACTCAGGTAACCTCTAAGGAGGGTTATTCTTTGTCTCATTACTGAATCCCATGAAGAGCCCGGTTACCTCGAAGAGGTTTGAATTTCTAATCTATTAAAGGAATACCAGCAATCTGTTATTTCTATGCCACTAAGGAAAGGTTAAAATGAAAATTGGATTTGAGGGAGCTCTGTCTATTCTAAGAGCTGGCTGGAAACACCTCGGCAGGAGGAGGCGAGGCAGGGTCTCAGGTAGGAGCAGATATCAAGGGAAATGACTCGTGATAACTGTATTGATTACAGCAGCTCGAAAAATTTAAGGTTCACCACAGCCTGGCATGACAGCCGGGAGAGAGCTCACCACAGAGACTGCCATTAGAAAGAAAAATACAAACAGAAAATTATCACCAGTGCATTGGAAACAGCCTAATTGGGAAATTACTGATTTTTAAATCTCCCCACATGCTGGAGGAGCCCATTATGGAGCACCTAAGAAGGGGGTGGGGGAGAGGGGAGTGCTGACTTGGAGGGGACTCAATCTCCTGTCACCAGCATGGACATCACAATGAGGAGGGATTTGTGAGGAGAGGGCCAGTGGAAACAGAAAGACAGATAGACAGGCAGACAGACAGGCAGACAGCGGCCCAGAAAGGGCACACAAACACACAGGACCACAGGGGTATACGCTGAGGGAGAAATTCTAAGTTGCAAGGATGGAGCACAATTTTGCACAGAGACTAAAGGACTGACTTTGCCATAGTTTAGGACGCTACAACCCCTCCTCCCTTCTGCTGCCCCCCTATTCCAGTCTCCCCACCCCCACCCCTGCCCTCTGCCTTTAGGCCTTCCCCTGGGCTCTGCTTCTTAACTTGGTGCTGTGGAATCAAGGTGTCAGACCTGATCATGATGTCCTAAGACCAGTGTGGGAACCAGGGCAGGGCTCTCTACCTCCGTGGATCCCAAAGTGGCGACACCCACAAGGGCCTGGCACAGCCCTCGGCACGCGGGGAAAGGACAAAGCGAGAAAGGAGGGAAGGGGGGAAGAGAGAAAGAAGCCAAGAACTTTACATTTGTCCCTTTTTCCACTTCTCCTGAGACTCGGCCCATTTTTCTAACGTGTCAAGATCTTGCCGCCTCTCGTTCAGGGATCGATAATCAGATCAGCATCATCACTGCTGCGTCCAGGAGTGTGACCATCCTGGGCCAAAGCTCCCTTGCTGATCACCTCTCCCCCTGTGCCTCACTGCCACGGCCCCAGGACACGCCCCTCTTCCTTTGTGGAATGCCCTCTGGGAACCCCATTCTCTCTCTCTCTCTCTCTCTCTCTTTCTCTCTGTCTCTCTTCTTTGTCTCTCTCTGTCTCTGTCTCTGTCTCTTTCCTTTGTCTCTCTCTGTCTCTCTTTCTCTGTCTCTATCTGTCTCTCTCTTCTGTCTCTGTCTCTCTTCTGTCTCTCTCTTCTGTTTCTCTCTCTGTCTCTGTCTCTCTCTGTCTCTCTTTCTCTGTCTCTCTGTCTCTCTTCTTTGTCTCTGACTGTCTCTCTTCTTTGTCTCTCTCTGTCTCTCTCTCTTTCTCTGTCTCTGTCTGTCTCTCTGTCTCTCTTCTTTGTCTCTCTCTGTCTGTCTCTCTCTCAGTGTCCCCCTCCCTCATACTCTCTGTCTGCTCCCTCATCCTCTCCTTGGCTGTCTCTTTCTGTCTCACCAGCCAATAACAAAATTTCCTTCCTGATGGCCCCCCCAAGAAGTTCCTGTGTACATATTTGGTACTCACCCACCTTGTACAGACGATCTCACACTGCTAGACTGTAAGCGCTTGGAGGACAACGCCTGTCTCCTTTTTGTATTTACAGCCTCAGGACCACAGCCGGTGCCCGAAGCCTGCCAGGCACTGGGTGGACATGAACGCTTGCGGGGGCCTGACTCGATCATTCAGGGTCAGTGGGCGCTCCCTCCAATCCACACTTTGTGACAAGTGTGACATCTATGCCCCCATTCAAGCCACTAAGACACTGCCTGGCAGCGGATACGGGGACGCGCTACCAGATGGCTCTGCTCACGAGTGCCTGTGCTTTTGGGGTGCTTGCTCAGCCAGCCCCAAACCCTTCATTGTGTCCACAAGAATGGTCACTCCATGCCCCTGCCTGGCTCCACACAAGGCTGCCTGAAGTGACTGAACTTCCCGAGATCTACCCGTCAAGAGACAGGTGGACTGATCTCAGAGCTGCGGCGCTAAGCGGTGTGAGACGGCTAGGGATCAGCATGACAGGGAGAAGGCACAGAAGGCCAGGGAGCAGAGCGAGGGAGACAAAATGGCAGCCTGGGCGCAGCAGCTCCTGGGGCACAACTCACCTCGTGAGCCTCCACGCCCATTTCCTTTAAAGCCGCCTGGAAGAACGCGGGGGCTGGCTTTCCCACCACTTCAGCTTGGATATCACAGGCGTACTGGGAAGGAAACGGATTAACAGGTGAGGCTGTGGAGGATGAGGAGGGCTCCAGCCTGCAGCCAAGAGGGCCGACAACATCGGGTCTGGGAAGACCAGTCCCACCCACCCATGATCCTGAGTGAGGAACCACACAGGCACAAGACATTGCAGGGCTGATGTGGATGATGGTGACAGGAGAGAAACAGAGACAGAGACACAGAGAGAGATAGAGAGACAGAGATAGAGAGAGACAGAGACAGAGAGAAACAGAGACACAGAGAGACACAGAGAAGAAAGAGAGACAGGCACAAAGAAACACAGAGACAAAGGCACAGAGAGAGACACAGAAGAGAGAGACAGAGAGAGACAGAAGAGAAACAGAGACACAGAGACAGAGAGACACAGAGACACAGAGAGACAGAGAAGAGAGAGACAGAGAGAGACAGAAGAGAAACAGAGGCACAGAGACAGAGAGAGACAGAGACACAGAGAGACAAAGGCACAGAGAGAGAGAGAGACACACACACACACACAGAGACAGAGCCTTGCTGTCTTACACCAGCACCTCCTACATCAGAAGATGGCAGTTCCCAACTCTGCCACTCACTTGCTGTGTGATCTTGTGTGTATTTCAGGACCTCAATTTCCTTTCCTGTAAAATAGGCACAATCATACTTACTTGGCTTACCTCACAGGGGAAGCTCTTTGGATTAAATGAGCTTATGCATGTAAAGCAATTTGTGGACACAAATTGCTTTATTATTAGAGGCAGCCACATAGCAGGCAGAGTGGGAAGGCCCAAGTTAAAATATCACCCTAGATATATCTCCCTGGGCAAATCACTCCATCTCTGCCTGCCTCAGTTTCCTTGCCTGTAAAATGGGGATAGTAATAGTACCCACCTCGTAGGGTTGTCTTGAGGATCAAATAAGGTAATAATTGTAACGCACTCTGCAAACTTTTAGTGTTGGTATTTATCATTATTATTATTACTACTGTTGCTACTGCGTGAATGAGGATGGGGGTGGAAGCTAATCCATAAGCCAAGAGGAAGCACAGACACAGCAGGAGACTGTCCTACCTCCAGGGCCTTCATGTACGGGCCAACGTCCAGCATCAGGCCATCGCTTTCTTTGTAGTAGCGTCTGGAAACAAAAGCAACAGCGCTGGTAAGAGCAGCTGGCACTGCGGCGGCGGGCCCCCGGCCCCTCTCTGGAGAAATGGGACCCTCTGCTTTCCTGCATTTTATCAACCCCTCAGGCCCGTCAAAAAAATCTAGCAAAAGTCTGCGGGGTTTGGCCAAGGAGTCTCTCCTCACTCATTCAATATTTTGGGGGGCCTTTACATAGGCCCACCAGACTGTGGGATCGCAGGCCTAAAGCTGGGGGGAGCTCAGAGGGAATCTAGTCCAATTGCCTTGTATGACAGATAAAGAAACTGAGGCCCCAGCAGACCAAGCAATTTACCCAAAGTCATCCTGGTAGCTGGCATCGGAGGTAAGATTCGAAGCCAGGTTCTCAGACTGCAAAGTCAGGGCTACTTCCACTATATCACTGCCATGCAGATGGCTCAGCAGAATATGAACATGAGTACAAACCCAGCTCTGCCGTCTGCTGCCCATGAGGACTGGACTGGATGACCTTACCCTAGGGGTCATCAGGGACAGGTCACTATGTTTCCCTGGGCCCCAGTTTGATCCCCAACCCTCGGGAGCTGGGAAGACCTGAGGTTCAGGGCAAGAAGCCCTGGACTGGAGGAAGCCAGGAAAGCTCTACCAATAACTGGTGAAGAGACCTGGGACAAGCCTGTCCTCTCTCTGGACCTCAGTTTCCCCCTTGGTACAATGAAGGGGTTGGACTCAGCAATTGCTGAGGTCCCTTCTCCCCATGCACGTGGTAACAGGCAGCAAAGGCCTTGGGTTCAGGTGGCTGTTCATCAAGGGTAAAGGGTCCCCACAAACAGGACGTGTAAAAGGGAAAAACAAAGAGTCGCTATTTGACAGAAGTGCCCTGTTCCATAAAATCCCTGAAAGGACTGAGGCCCTCCCCCTGTTTGTAACAGACCCACCACTCAGGGGGGTGTCGTCAGTGAAGTCAGCCCCCCCAGAGGGAGCCCCGTGTAGATACCTCAATGATTAACTGGGAGATCAAAGCAGGCAGATGGTTTCCAGTTGCTAATACAGTGGGAGAGGACGATTAAGGCTTCTGGGAAAGGACAGTAGGTTCAAAGCTTCTCTGGCTCACCCCTAATTGCTAATAATTAACCCCTAATAGCTGCTTGAGAAAGAAAACTCCATTAGTTCCACAGCAACCTGGCACATTTCCTATTAGCCAGAGGTCAAACCATGGCCCAAGTTTCTTGGGCACCAATTGTTTTTATAGGGAGACAACTTATTTCTTTCCCCCTAACTCACTTGAGAAGGTGACAGGCCAGGTTCTTAAGAGCCTTCTTTTAAGATGTGTTCATTAATTCTGCTTCTGCCAGGCTGACCTCCCCAGAACTGCAAAGGGAGAAGGTGAGCCACCTGCCCAGGCGAGGGGGTCACTGTCCATCACCCAGCGAGCCAGCACAAGGCATCCGTAGCTTATGCAAGCTCAGGGCACAAAGGGATCCTGAGCTCAATTCACTTCAAGTCGACCGACATTTCTACATCTGGCCCTGCCCACTGTGCAGCCTCTTCCATGAGACTCGTGGTCACTCAAAAGAGATTGGCTTCGCCATCCAAAAGGGGCAAGTTCAGCAGATCAAGGGTGTCTGATGCCCAGACGGGGCTATGCAGCTAAGTGGGTATCCAGTTGAGTTAGAACGTCAGCCTGCACATCAGGGATGGGGGACCACAAGCCAGGCTTCGAGCTGGACTAGAGCCTAAGACAAAATTGAGCATTTGCAGTGACCCCAAGCTGCTCCCAGCTACCAAAGTCACACTTTTCAAAACCAATATTCTCCCAGTGAGGTGAGGGGGCCACAAATCATAAAGTGACAGCTTCTCAGGAGAATGAAAACTGTGAATGAAACCACCTAAACACTGCGGCTGGGAAAAGTAACTTCCCCTACTGTGTTGCCAGAGGGGCAAGAGTGATTGGAATTTTGAGGCATAAACAAAAGCAGGGAGGGCTGACTTTCAGTATTATTAAAGTCACTAGAAGATCAGTCACATCAATAAACATCTTCCGGTGGCCTTTGAATTTTAAAGGACAGTAATAAATATGTATGTAGAGACTAGGCTTTTCAATAGGGCGAGTGACAGACAAGTTGAACCGGGTGAGAACAGAATGCTAGTCTCATTCCTATCTGCTGAGGTTGATCAGGTCTGCCTGCTTATTTAAAGGGCTGGTCTAGACCCACTCACCCAGGAATTATTTTCCTGCATAACTAAAGACAACCCAACTGAGAGTGGCTGCTCCCCTCTACCAAGAAAACTTGAGCAGCCACGCTGGAGAGTGGAGAGCACTGTGAGGCTGGGAGTCCCAAGACCTGGGTCCACCACTCACTAGTTGGATAACCAAGAAGAAGGAATCTACCCTCCTTGCGTCTGAGCTTCTTCATGTGAAAAGTGGGGATGATAATGCTTACAGTATCACAGGCTGGTCATCGACTAAAGAACTACCACCTTTCCAATGGGACATTCCCAAGAGGTTGAGGAATCAAAGGGGCTGCAACTGGGATGGTAAATGCACTAAAGACCACATGTGCCAAGGGAGATCAGTTGAAGGACCTAAGGATGTTTAGCCTACAGAAGGAAAGGGGGAGATGGGAGTTAGAATGATCCCAACTTGAAACATCTAAAGGAGCATGATGCGGAAGAAGGCTCTCTTCCTCCCTCTTGGACCATTCCTTCTCTGTCTCCTTGTTGGATCCTTCTCTAGACCACACCCTCTACACACAGGTGTCCCCCAGTGCTCTGTCCTGGGCCCTCTTCTCCCTCTCTGCTACTTCAGTTGGTGATCTCATCAGCTCCCATGGATTTAGTTCATTTCATTTCCATCTCTATGCTGATGAATCTACCTCTCCAGCTCCAATCTCTCAGCTGACTTCCAATCTCACATCTCTAGCTGCCTTTCAGACATCTCCAACTGAATATCCCACAGATACCTTAAATTCAACATGTCCAAAACTGAATTCATTCTCTTTTCCCCTAAACCTTCCCCACCTCCTACCTTCCATATTACTGTAGAGGGCAACACCATCCTCACAGTCCCTCAGGCTCACAGCTGAGGAGTCATCTGGACGCTTCATTATCTCACCCCCCCAAATCCAATATGGTGCCAAGGTCTGTCAACTTCACCTCTGTTAGATCTTTTGTCAATTTCATCCCCCTCCCCTTGAAGCATCTCTTGTCAATTTTACCTTTGCAGTATCTCTCATAGATTTTGACCTCTGTAGCATCTCTTGTAGATTTCACCTCTGCCATCTCTTGTCAATTTCACCTCTACAGCATCTCCCATAGATTTCACCTGCATAGCACCTCTCCAGTGTGCCCCCTTCTTTCCTCTGACACCGCCCCCAACCCTGGTACAGGCTGCCATCACCTCACACCTAGACTGTTGAAATGGCTGTGATCCATCCTCCATTCAGCCACTAAAGAGATTTTCCTAAAACAGGTCTGACCAAGTCACCACCCCCCTCTACTTAGTAAACACCAATGGCTCCCTATTACCTCCAGGATCAAATATAAAATTCTCTGTTCAGTATTTAAGCACTTCCTACACGGCCCAACCTTTCCAGTCTTCTCACACATTTCTCCCTGACACCCCTCGATCCAATGACATGGATCTCCTGGCTGTCACACAAACAAGACCCTCCATCTTTCAGCTATAGGCACTTTCCCTGGCTGGTCCCATGCCTGGAATGCTCTTCCTTCTCATCTCTGCCTCCTGACCTCCCCAGGTTTCTTTAAGTCCCAACTAACATCGCCCTTTCTACAGGAAGTCTTCCCCAGCCCCTCTTAATTCCTGTGCCTTCCCTCTGTTAACTATTTCTTATTTGTCCTGTATAGAGCTTGCTTTGTATATATTGATTTGTGTGTTGTCTCCCTATCAGACTGTGAGCTCCTTGAGGGCAGGGAATGTCTTTTGCCTCCTTTTGTATCTCCAGCACTTAGCACAATGCCTGGCACACAGTAGGCACTTGTAAATGTTTATTGATTGTTAGTTGAGTAGCTTTCTTCTGCTTGGCCCCAGAAAGTAGAAAATGCAGAGTGGAAGATTTCAGTTTGATTTAAGGAATTTGGTCTATCCAAAGAGAAACAGACTTCCTTAGGAGGGCAGATTTTCTGCCCCATCTCAATCAATCAATCATTTATGATGTCCTTAGTATTGTGCTAGGCACTGAGGGATATAGATACAAAGAGGGAAACAATCCCTACTCTAAGGAGTTTCCATTCTAACAAGGGACACAACAGGTACATCTACAACTTCAGTGCTATGTGAATAAATATAAATACATAAATTATAAAAAAATATATAAATTTATATATTATATAAATATATTGTGGATTTATATAAAATATATACATATATTGTATAAATTATAAAAATATACAAATTGTTAAAAAATAAATACAAATATATACAAAATTGTGCTTAAAAAACAAGGTCATGTGGGAGGGAAGGCACTAGCAGCTAGGGAGAATCTTGGAAAGCTGTGGGTCCCAAGTGAGAGTAGAGGAGGCCTGTTAGGTCCAATAAGCCTGGAAAAGTAAGTTGGGGCAAAGGGCTTTCAGTGGGAAATAAAGGAATTCCTAATCTGTCCTAGGGGAAACAGGAAGCCCCTGGACTTGTCCACAGTTAGGAGAGTCCTTGGTCAAACCTCTACTTAGTGAATATTCCTGTCAGCTGTGTGGAGGACGGGCTGTAGTGGGAGACATTTGAGGCTGGGGATAAGCTGAACCGAGAGAAAGCAGAGTGGAGAGGAGGGGTCAGAGGAAGGGATGTTGTGCATGACAGCAATGGGCCACAGATGTGGGTTAGGGAAAGTGAGACATCCAGGGTAATGCCGAGGTGATAAGCCCGGAAGGCTGGACCGACAGTGGCTCCTTTGGGAGAAACAGGAAAGCCTGGAAGATGTGAGGGGAAATAATGAGGGCGATGTTGGACATGCAGAGCTTGAGACATCTCCAGGCCAACCACAGTGAAATGTCCCATAG